TCCAAGATGATGGTAATGTGAGTAGACGTTACAGCACAGGTCGCCCTAGAGTTACAACTCCGAATGAGGACCGGTATTTGGCAGTTACTGCCAAAAGAAACAGGCGGAGCACAGCCTCAGACGTGACTCGTCAGCTTTCTTAAGCCACTGGTACGACAATTTCAAGGCAGACCGTCTACAGACACGTAGGGCAGATTGGTCTCTATGCTCGTAGACCTGTCAGATGTGTTCCACTTACTGCAACTCACTGTCGCCTGCGGTTAGCCTGGAGTAGAAAGCATGCATTGTGGACACCGCAACAGTGGGCTTGTGTGATGTTTTCCGACGAGTCCAGGTTTAGCTTGCAGTCTGATTCTCGCCGGACTTTCATATGGAGAACTCCAGGTACCCGTTACCACCAAGAAAACATCACTGAACGACACCGTTACGGTTGTGCAGGAATGCTCGTTTGGGGTGGAATTATTCTGGGTTCCAGAACTGACCTGCATGTTCAAATTGGAACCATGACAAGCCAAATCTATCGGGACGTCATTTCTGGAACAACAGTACGTTTGTTTCGGGGGCAGGGGGCAATCTGGATGGGACATGCTGCAAATAGACGAGTTCGGGGGCCCGTCAACCTCATCGTTACTGTCTGGGGCTTCAATGGGCTTTGAGGGTGGGGTGGGACATGGGGGGGGGGGGGGGGGGGGGGTGGGGGGGGGGGGGGGGGGGGGGGGGTGGGGGGGGGGGGGGGGGGGGGGGGGGGGGGGGGGGGGGCTCACCCGATTTGGAGCATTGCTTTTGAGGTGGTGTACCCTCAAGATCATCGATAATTTGATACTCGGCATGCCTAGGCGTTGTACGGACTGTATTGCATCGTCTGGGAGACATACAATGTATTAACAATCATATCAACCATGTAATATTGTTTTTTGTAAATAGATTTTTTTTTTGTAATTTGCTACAGGGAAAAAAATGGCTAATTTTTTAATAATATCAAACATATAGCATCTTTTTTGCTCTTTACCTTTTGTTTAATAAATAAGCTTTACAAATAAGTCAAATTTGTTTCGCTTCTTACTCTTCCTTTGCCTGATTTTGCATTATCCTTAATTTATGGACATGAGTGTATTGCGCCTTAAGAACAAGGTTGAAGTAATGGGATATGTAGAGAAACATTTTTCCTGAAGCAACAGAAAAGCTCGGGGAAGTCATTTCACAACGTTTGGGAGATGTAGTCAATACCAAAGAAGGGCCTATTGGCCATTAATTATAAGATGTAAAAGATCTTTCATAAACTTTGTAAATACCATAAGGAAGCTTTTTCATTCTCATTGATTTTTTTAATTTATTATTTTGTTACATCGATATTTTTTTCTTAATAATCCTAACCAATATATGCAATTGAGTTGACCGCATTTGCTAGTTTTCAGTTTCTTCGTAAAGGATTTTGTATGGCAAGTTAAATTTTTATTTACTATCATAGCTGCGTACGGAAGCGTTTTTAGCCGTTGTGTATTTTGTAGAAAAACTGAGTTAAAAAATTTAAGACTTTTGTTGTGAGTTGGAAAAAACATTTCATTCATAATGCCCGTGATATTTGTGCCTAGCCACAGTATCAGGCTGGCATTAACTAATTCATTTCAGTAATGTTTTGGTTTTCGTAGTCTAAACCATTTTGGGTTATTATGTATTCTGTACATTCATAATCTCTATAACATTTTTTAAAAATAAAGGTGCTATAAGTCTGTTTTCAAATATTGCCATCAACTGTTATCGCCATGTATTATTTTTAAAGCAATAACATAGAGAATAAAAAATAGAATTATGGCAGCACATAACACACTATCGAGAATTTTAAAGGATATGCTGTTTTTAAACTTTTTTTTTTCTGTTGAATTTTATGCGACGTAGGTGCGAAGAAAGTGATGTTTAGTAAAAATTAAAAAGAAATTATAATAAATAAAACAAAAGTTCTAAAAATAGAATGAAATATTAAAAATTGAAATAGTTCAGATTTTAACGTCGCCCAAAAGTGCTCACTTTCCCGCGATGGCAGCTCTTCTTCTGATAGTGGACATATTGTTTATTTTCTGTGTCGTTTGGTTTTTAGACCGATATTCTTCATTGTTGCCATTTTATTTGTTGTTATGACGCATTCTTAGTCGTTTTCCACGTGATGAAAGGTTTTCCTATTCTGTTAATCGACGTCGTGGCATCTCTTTATTTGAAAAGTGATATGGAAATCAAAAGTGATACAAAAAGGTGATTCGACGAAAACCGAGATTGGAGACAAATAGCTCCTTCGAGCTGCTAATAAAAAGGCAATAAAAATTCTGCAGATCATCTTAGTAAGAAAGCTTAACATCAGCACGATAAATTAAAAAAAGTCTGATGAAGTATTAATGACGCGTTTTAACACTGTATCGGGCACTCTAAACATACACTATTTGTCCGAATAGTTCGAAATTAGATTTTCTTCCCGGCATATGATCGTAACTGGACATGCAATTTCCAAGTATCACGGATCGGTTGCCCGAGAAAGAGGATTCAAAGGGTTTGTCCGGAACGATGGGGAAAAAGTGAATTTTTTGCTGCATGATAACGCATCCCAACTCAGTGAGCGGGATATTTTCTAGCGAAAAAGGGTGCGTCAGATCTTAACCATCCACCATACTCCATACCGATTTGGGGCCGAGTAACCTTTTTTGTTCTCCAAAATTAAACTTCTCGTGAAGGGTCAACGCTATGACCACGTAATTGACATTCAAGCAACAGTGGCACGTAAGCTGAATATCATCCCAAACAAGGATTTTTCAGACAGTTTCGTATAGTTGTATGAACATTCTATGCCTTATATTCAAGTGGAAGAAGACTATGTAGAACACCTGAAAAATTAAAAGCTTAATCCTAGGTTGTTTTTTCTAGTTTTGAATGAATCCAGTTTCGAAACGTTTTTGGACAGACGGTGTACACTGCTTTTAAACATTTTGTGAATTTGTTTTTGAATTTTATGTAGCGAAAGTCTAAAGAAAGTAATATTCAGTATAGAGGTTGTTGGCACATTTTTTAGAAAAGTTTGAAGCCAATTAATAAGGATTTTGAATGTCATAATCGGGCGTTTTTAATTGCCACTACAGAGACTGTTCGCGGATTTTTTAGATGACTTTCACTGCAATTACAGAAATATTTTACCTAAATGTTTATTTTAAATGTTCCGTTTAATAACTCTTATTCTTCACCATCTTTATACACCGTAATTTCTGAGACAATAAAGCCTTATATAGTATCAGAAGATTTATTTTATCCCATTGCTCTCCAACAGCCTTCCAAAGTTTGAGAAGGTTGTAAGTCGACTTTTCTACAATCCGCTTTTTAAAAGTCCTAAAGCATTAAAAATGCATTGGTGATATACAATATATTGGTGATAGAACAGCAGATTTAGTAAGGATATGAGTGAAAGGGTATGGCCTTGATACCCGTTTCTGTTTTCATTTTTTCCAGGAACTTAACAGTCGATTTGGACATATTGCCGCTTGCTTTGTCTTGATGCAGTTCTATTGATGGATGTGTGTAAAGAGAAGATATTTCATATTTGAAAATTGGATGTAAAATGTTTTTGATAATATAGAGTTGATCTTAGCATTTTTCTACACTCTCGCTATCTTTACTTTGCCGTTATATGAAAAACCATCAACAATCATAAATTCCTTAGAAAAACTTTTTTAGATTCCTTGAACCATGTTTTAAGATGTTTTTCTTCTCTTTGACGTTAATAAATGGATCATTTTTATTAAAATCATTTAAATACATTCAAGATTTGTCTCTTGTGACAACATTTTTCCTCTTTTGGTCCGGATAAATGTTTCTCACAAAGAATTTTGCAGCGTGTTCTGCGTTCGGCGATATGTCGTGAAGAAAAAGGTGCACAAAAAGATTTTTTTTTTCTTTTTAAGATTCACATCAGCATTAATCGCTTTATTTATAGCTGACTTTGAGTATTTTAATGATTTTGGAACTATCCGTTGACTTGACGGATTTTTCTTTTAACATTAGAATTTTACTTTTGCAACATTCAAAACACTCCATTTTTTTCTTTGGATACGTATTTCGATAAGTTTTCCACCTGAAGAATTTGTTTATTATTATCAGTCCAAAGGGGCTTTGTTCCTGAAGGACTATTGTTTTCGTTTTGCGATTTTGCGTTGAATCACTATAAATGTCAGTTTCACTTTTCAAACTGTTGCCACCAAATGTTAGAGTCCTGCATTATATTTGAAGAAATTAAATAATGAAAAATCTGCATAAATGTATATTTTTCGCATTGTGATAAAACAACGGTACTTAGAGCCATCGAATTTTCAATGACGTTATCTTCCTACGAATATGGGCATGCGGAAGGCCCAAATTTGAAATTTGGAATTTGTTTTATGATCGATTGCATATTTTGTGAAACATTAATGAATTTTTGATTAACAAACTCAAAGATTTCAAACCGAGCAATGGCAACACTCTACGGGGGGGGGACATTTTTTATCTCCAGCGCGCGAGTCTCTGTATCGGAAATTCTAAAGATAGGCTCATTTTAAAACTATTTTTCACTGCTATTGAACTGAATTTTATGGTTTAAGTGCAAGAACATGATATTTAATAAATAAAGGTAACACACGAAACGTTATAAAACCCCCTTTGGACATAATTTAAAATCTGAAACCTTTCAGATTTTTTTACTTTTTTAATTTTATGTTTTATCTATTTTTTACAGCAAAGCAAAGTCTTCTAAAAAATGTGCGGATAGTCTCTTTAGTAAAGTTTAAAAGGAAAGAAAGTTGCTTAACACAAGTGAATTCAATCAAAGATCGGAAATTTGAGGGCTCAAAGAAAGCATAAAAAACTTAATAAAAATAAACCTCTGATGAGACATTAAAAAATATGAATTCTTTGAGATTTTCATTTCCGTAAAATTCAATCTTTTATCGGTAAAATTCTGTTCATAACTCTGTTTCTTTCTTTTGCAGGTACTTTGACCCAGTGATATTAGATGAATTCGAATCGGATAGAGTGGAGCATGTACCATGTAACTATACTGGATGTGCTGATTTGTATGTTATTTTCTTCTACACTGACTACCAATAAGTATTTGGACACCTGTGATAGAAAAGAAAAACTAACTTTATTCAAAATCAATAGTTGGTAGATCTTCCACGAGAGGTAATTACAGCGTGGACACTCCGGGGCATACTCCGGGGCATACTTTTGTATGACAGCTAGTGGTATTTTTTTCCACTCGGCTTGGAGAAGACATAGAATTCCTTCACCGATTTTGCACTGGTAGTGCACCCCTGAATTCGGCGATGCAACTCGTCCCAGAGGTTCTCGATAGGGTTCAGGTCTGGACTCTGGGCAGGCCAGTCCATTCGATGAACTCCATTGGCACCATACCAAGCCTTGGTTAACGTCGAAACATGACAACTGGCATTGTCGTCCTGAAAGTAACAGGGGTCCAACCCGTAAAACTGCCACAACGTAGGAAGCACATTGTCATCCAAAATAGTGCAGAAGGCATCGGAGTTGAGCTTACCATGAATGGGGACCAAGGGTCCCAGCCCATACCAGGAGAAACACCCCCAGACCATAATTCCACCTCTGCCGAACTTGACTGTTGGCCCAATGCATTCTGTCAGGAGACGTTCTCCAGGTAGACGCCAGACCCAGACCCTTCCATCCGAACGGTAAAGGGTGAACCTTGATTCGTCATTCCAAAGAACACGTTTCCACTGATCTTACAGTCCAATTTCGATGTGCTTTGCACCACATTAACCGAGCAGCGCGGTTGGACTTTGTGATCAAAGGCTTATGGGCAGCAGCACGACCATGAAACCCAAGCAGATGTGCTTCTTTACGGATGGTATTCATTGAAACAATACTCCCGGATGCCTGTTGAAACTTCTCGCGGATGAGGGCCATCGGTTGAGTGCGGTTCTTCCGAATTTCTCTGAAGAGCACTCGTCGGTCTCTATCTCCCAGTTTCGTTGGTCTGCCGATTCGAGGCACATTCCGACAATCACCCCTCACTTTCCACTTCTTAATCACATAGGTCGATTTTGGGTACTTCAGATCGCTCGATATGTCCCTTAAGGATCGGCCATATTTGTGATACCCGATAATTATACCTTTCTCGAAATCGGAGAGCTCCGAACTGCGAGGCATCTTGCATGCGACTAAAGCCGATGCTGTTTCCTACACGATACATACCGGCGGAATCCGTGACTTACCTCAGGACCGCAGATATCGTCATTTGCATAGGTGTCCAAATACTTATTGGTAGTCAGTGTACAGATTTTAGATCGTAGGTGTTTCTAATAAAGAGTAATTTTTATTTTAATTACACTTCATGTGTAAATTAAATTTTGAAAACCATTTAAATTGCTAAAACATATGTGGTGTGGGCGCCATATAATTTCCTTGTACACCTATTTATATAATATCAACTTTTTGCTGCACGTCATTTAAACTTACTTCCTCGAATTATTCTAACTTTATTCACCGATTCCTCAAGGCAAGTTGAAAATGACATAAAAAATTGCAAAAGCTGAAATTAAATATCCCTGTGAATTTTTGTCGTAGGGGAGTCAAGTTTCTCGTATTTATATTTCATAGCGAGTTATAAAATTTCCCTCAAAATTCTCCACGGAAGAGGACATTAAAAGTCATATTTTGTTATTTATTCAAAATTAATTTTTTCTATTTTGAAACTGCCAGAATATGAATATTTTTTCGTAATTTAAAACTTCTGTGATCGGAATTATGTGTTAACTACCAATGATTGTGAAAATTAAAGCCGGTTAGGGACTTTTAGAATAAAAAGGGGGATGGGTTACTTTACTTCAGTATTGTCAATTGTAATTAAAAAAAAGTGCACGACTAGATGTCATAGCAGCCCCATATGCAAAATTTGAATGTTCTACATATAAATCGTTTTTGAGTTAATGCGAGTTAATACAATGGCGCAAGCAATTGAGAATACACCTTACTTTTACTTGATAAGCCTAACTTTCAATATAATAACCACATTACCAAGGCAAGAAAACATATTTTTACACATAACAAATCGTTTAATTTAAAGTAAAAATAAAGAGCAATGAGCCAAAAATTCTAAAATGAAAACACTCGGAATCCTTTTAAATAAATATATGCAGATGTTTGCCTCAATTAAGAATATACCAATGAAATTTTTTGTGATATCTTACATGCAAAGAAAGTGTCAATATTTTGTTACATGTCTTTTGGCTGTTATGATCTTTTCCAAGCGTCATAGTACCGTTTCGACCAACGTTTTGGTCATATCTGAAGATATTTTATCCCATTCTTTTTGCAACACTTATTTTAAATGCTCTTTGTTTTTGATTTTGTGTTCTTGGATCGCTGCTTCGAGTGTTGCCCACAGATTTTCTGTGGCATTTATGTCTAAGGACTGTGGTGGTGTATGTAACTGCTGTTTACAATGAAAAAGACATCACATTTTGATGTTATGTGCCGTGTGTTTGGGGTCATTGTCGTGCTGTAATAGGAAGTTTTCATCTGAACCTAACTTTTTTAGTTTATTGTGGAGTATATCCAACTAAACCATATGATTTATAATAAGAACTAAATTTCCTACCCCAGTTGAAGCCCTAAAAGCCCAAACCATGACGGAGCCACCACCATGTTTAACTGTAGGACGTAAATTTTTTGGATCCAAAGCGCTGGGCTTTCTCCAGAATTTGCGATAGACGTCACTACGGAAAATGTTGAATTTGCTTTCATCAGTAAATTCAACATTTTCCGTAGTGTTATAACTTCCTTCCAAAATTTATCCATTTGCAATTAATGAGTTTTTGCAAACTCCAAAACTTCTGATCTTGCAAGTTTGATTAATGGAAGTTTCTTTCTAGCAACTCTAATTTTACATCCAGCTTGTCTAATTACATTTCGCACAGTTTCAGCAATTCTGCCGATGATTTGGGAAGTTTCTTCAGCAAGTTTGACTGCACTTACTTTAGGATCAATCTGGATATCTTTCAAAATTTTCCTTTTTGGAGACATCACTCAGAATGCCTTTCCCTCCTCTTCGACTTTCATTATCAAACAATTCAATACTTTTAAATTGTTAAATGATTTTCTATACACACGTGTGGCTTACAACAACAATTTCAGCTATTTTACTATAGGAATTTTCTTTTTTACATAACCTTAGTATGAATTTCTTTCCTTCAATGTTGGTTTCTCTTCGAGGAGCCATTTTCTATTGGTCCTTAAAAGTGTAGCTTCATATAACAAATATAACAAACTTCATCACAAAAGCGAAAAGGTGTAAGATAAGATTATGCAACATTAGATTAAAATAGAAGCCACGTAGAAAAAGTGTAGTGGTATTTAAACATATCTTTCATTGGTGTATTCTCAGTTTTTGAGGCAAAGATCTGCATATGTTTCTTTAAAATGCTTCTGAAATGTTGCATTTTAAGATTTATATGTTGAATATTCTTTATTTTTACTTACATTAAATCAATTGTTTTGTGAAAAAAAAAAAAGTTCTTGGTTCTGCATTATTTATATAGAAAATTGGATTTATCAGGTAAAATTAAGGTGTATTTTCAATTATTTGAGCCACTCTGTGTACTTTACTAAAGACCCTTTTTAGAATAAATAGCTATTTATTCTGTCCGTGACATCATCGAAAAGTAATCGCAATGAATTTGGTAACGTATAAAATGAGTATTTCCGTAGAAATCTGATTCCGTTGAAATTTTAAGCTGTTACAGTACATCCTTTACTTCATACATGGAAGTAAAATGTGAAGCGTGATGTTGCAAGATCTCTGAGAAATAGAGGTTAGTGGAAAGTTTAAAACTCTAGAGAATGAATAACTAAACTGCTGAATGGTCAATTATCGACCCATGGTTTAAGAAATGAAAAAGTAAAGTAGGCTTTTATATGACAGTTTGGGTTCCAAGGTTCTTTTCATACAAATATGTGAAACTTTACTTTTGAATGACTCTGTAATAAACAAGTATCCGAGTTTTCTCGCTGACTCGTTTCTTATGGATTAATCCCATAAAAAAAGTGACATGAGATCAAAGTTATTCAAAATAGCATTGAGTTTTAATGCTATTTACTTGCCGTCAAAGATAAGCATACTTGAAGTTTCTAACATATAAGGCGTCTCGTAAATTTGGATGCATTTTAAAAATTATAGCTCATTTTTCTTCAGCAGGGCACAAATATGTCCAACAGGCGATTTATTTATATCGAGTTTTAATGAAAGTTTCCCGCTACCGCAAATACTGTCTGTGCAAACAGTTCGCGTTGGCGTGTTTAATAATAATTTGTCAAACGACTTTTAACATTTGAAAGAAAGAGAATTGCTTTAGAACACTGCGTTGTGAAATTTGTTAAATATCGTCATCATTAAGTACATTGTGTCTCAAATAGAACTATCACGCTACCAGGTTAGAACCATCATTTACTTCCAGTTCTGTTGCAAAAAGTCAGCTACAGAATGTCACCAAATCATGTGTACAGCTTTAGGTACTAATGTTATCGTATGACACTGTGAAGATTTGGTACCGAAAGTTCAAAAACAATTACCATGACATTCAAGAAACAGAATGCTCTGGCCGGCCTACTAATGTTGAGGAGGCCCGCCTGCGAGAACTCTAGGAACAAGTTCAGTATGCAATTACTCGAAAGCGTGTTTGGAATTAGACGTTAGTGCTATATCCATATGTCGCGCTACGCGTCGCATAAACTTGCCGCACAAGTTCAATCCCTGGGTGCCCCATGAGCTGGCTCAAGCAAATTAGAACTGATGTGTTCGGACCTGCACTAATCTCCTCGAATATCAACGGAAGGACAGAATTCTGGACCCGCTTGTCACTTGTGATGAAAAGTGGATTTACTTCAACAACACAGGCCAAAAAGGAGGTTGGTCTGCGCCCGGTGAGCCAGCGGTAGCGTCACAATGCGCAATTTGACTAACAAAAAGATCATGCCTTGTATCTGGTCGGATTGCTGTTGTTTTATCCACAAAGAATATCTGGAAAAAGATAAAACCCTGGAC